CCCCCCCAAGTTTTCATGCGTTTGTGGTGAAAAGGTACAATATACGTGTATTAGGTTTAACGCCTCTAACAACACTAATAGATTATTTCACAGAGTTAAACGTCCATCTCCGAAAGGACTGAGCCAAATGGGGGAAATTCGAGTAAAGTGCCTTCCCCAAGGACACAACGTCGGACCGAGCTGAGGCTCTCACAATTGCGAGTCCGGAAGGCTAACCGCTAGGCCACCGACATCCTCCCAACAAGGAAATAAAGGGGCTTTTCGATGAGTACCGTGAGTGTAGTTTAATTTTTCATAAGAGTTTTACGGCCCTTACAACACAATTAGGTCACATAATTGGTGTTTGGTTTTAAAATAGTTTAACGGCACTTGCAACATAATTAGGTCATATAAGTGCTGAATATTGGAGGAGTTGCAAGAGAGTAAAAAAAACCCAAAAAAGGAGGATAGATAAGGACAATAGGAAAGAAGGAGCAAACCATACCAGAGCACCCACCAACCACCCACATTCATTAATAAAAGTTTTGTTTTTGGGTTCATATGATCCCCTGTTCTATTCTCTTCACTCCTCAAGGGTAAGCAGGAATATTCTTCTGCATCCCAACAAGTATCTCGGCGATATAGGTAATGGTTTAGTCATTTCATCACACTAGTGGGCTTATTTCTACCTGCCACAGAGGCTAAAGCTTAGGCAAAAGCCACGGAAAAGATAATGGTAAAAAAAAAAAAAAAGAAAACAAAGAAATTCAAAGAGTCTCCCAAAAACGTTCTGAGTTTCTACTAACCATAGCTATTTGGCAAACTTTGACTTTGTAATATGTTCAAAATATATAACTGTTTAACTAAATTTAAAATGAGAAACTTCTACCGTCTTCAATTTGATTTTTCTTCTTATACTTCTAGCCTGGTTTAGTTTAATAAAAGTTTTAGTTTTCAATATGGTCAAATAGGTGCCGAAGATTAGAGAGTGACAGTACAAAAAAGAGAAGAGAAAAGGATGGTAGATGTTTGATAGGAAAGAAGGAGCAAAACCCCACAAGAGCACCCACCAACCACCCACAATGCTTACGGAAGCCTCATACAGAGAGAGAGAGAGAGTCAGACGCAGAGACAAACACACTCACAGACCAGAAATTCATAAAGAGTTATTCAGCACTGCAGCTGCTAGCAACACTATCCCAACCAAATGCAGCTCAAAAATCAATACCACATGAATTACATAATCTGATGTCTATTTTTTAAACTTTTTTTTCACAATCAGAACGTTTGATCCACTACCACCAGGTCAAAATTTATGGCCTACAATTTCCATAAAGTCGGGTTGCATGTGCATTCCATCAGGCCAGCGGGATGCAACTCACTGAGCTGTTTTCTGATTCATATCTACAAGCCACAAAAAGTAACACGAGATGGTAATGGGCACTGGCTGAGTTATGAACTAAGTACGCAAGCAGTCATTGTCAAACTCATTGATCAGGAGCCTGGCATAATTGGCCCACGTCCCGAATTATGCATATTGATTTTATTCATGCAATTTAATGCGATGGCGTGGCTGTGCAATAAGAAATTTACTGCCCTCAGAAATGCATCTTTGTAACAGATAGTGTTGTGCAGTCTGTTTGGGAGTTTCCCGTATTTTTATTTTGCGACAGCTACACCAACCAAGTTCTCTTGAGTACCACAAGGACTACAGAACATACTAGCTGAGGGGGAAGTTACAGACAGGACAGAAAGAAAAAGAAAAAACAAAAACAACCCAACAGCATACAGACAACCTTTGTTTCGGGAATGTTACAGAGGAGAATTCACGGAATTAAAAAAAAAGACAAAGATGTGGATGCCGTTTGTATTGGCAACAAATTTAGGAACATTATTGAGGAGAATTCGCAGAATAAAAAAAATAATCTAAAAACATACGGATGATCTATCTATAGGGCACAAGTTTTGGGAGATATAATGGAATAAAAAAACAAACAAAAAAACAAAACGTTTGGATGATCTTTATATTGGCCACAGGTTACGGGAATGTTACAGAGGAGAATAATATACAGAATTAAGCTATAAAATACATAAAGAGGGGATTTCAAGACAGGATGGGACAATCCAAAAGTCAGCTTTTGCATCAAGATCGAGAGAAAAACTTTGTATTTGTGATTGAATGAAAATTATTGGCCTGCAGGGGGAGGAATGGGGCCCCGTGGGTGATCAGAATGCGGCACAGACTGCAGATGTCTAGACAGGACTACATAACTGGCACAAAACGAGTCACGTTTCACACTTGACAAAATACAAAATCACAGCCCAGCTCAACCAGACAAGCAATGAAAGACATCTGCTTGATCAGGGCTAAACCTATTTTTAAAAAAATCCATAACAATGTATTGTCAACTTTTCTTTCAAGATATTGCCCCAATAGTTCAAATGACTGCATATATACAGCCAAACCTGCAATAACGGCCACCTGTCCAAGACAATTTAATTACTGGTATAAATGTTCACTTTTTACCTTCTACCTTGTGGGTTTTTTTTTCTATGTGTGGCATCCAAGTGAAATCAGGAGCGCATTAAAACAATGAAATCAGAGGAACTAACATTTTTCTGTGCATGATGGGCAATTTTTATCCAATTTTTGTTTGTTTGAGGAATAACACCTTTTATGCCATTAGAAAATACATTCCTGCGTGGATTTTACTGAAAAACATTTATGGAATAATAAAAAAAAATTATATATAATTTGCATTTTCCAAGGACACTACAGCTTTGGAAGTCACCAAACTTTGGTGTACATTTTCTCGTCAATTTTATTTTTGGCAATGAGGGATCTCTACCTTCTTCAATCGCAAATATCTTAATATCTATTCAAGATAGATGAGTATTTAAAAAAAAAAAAAAAAAACAAGGCTAAAGAACAGGCTTTAAGATTATACCAATAACTTCATACGCCCAAAAATTGATGGACGTCTCATTCTATCATGTTGAGACAAATATCGTAAGTAATGACATGGTCCGAGATGTCCACCTGTCTAAGACAACCTCTTACCCTGACATTTTTTTCCCTATATATTATAATGACACTGTCCAAAACGTTCTCCTGTCTAAGACAACTACTTTTCTCCTCAACAATGGGCAGCTGTCTTGGACAATTTCCGCAGCATCAGATAACGGTCAGAATGTCAGAAATTTTCATCATTTCCAGTCATTTTGACGTTTCTACTGCTCCGGTCATAGCTCAAATTAGCACAGAGATTTACAACATAACCCCCTTCTTTCTTCCATGAGACAACACTGTCTGATATTTCAGAAAATTTTTTTTGGACAGTTCAGAACGTTATTTTTTCTTTTTTTTTTTCTTTTTGCAAGAGACAGCCATCCTCCATCCCTGACCCTACAAACTTGAGCTGCTCATCTGACACAAACAAACATATGTACCATTACAAAGGTTTTTTTGTTTTTTTTTAAATAAAAAAATCTTAAGTTAGAAAATAACAAAATAAAGACCACCATGCCCTTAGGACATGGGCTACTCAGTTCAAGAAGTGAGATGTCCCCGTTAACATTTTTTAAAGCTTCAGAAAGAGTTTTACGGCACATAACGGTTATATAAGTGCTGAAGATGAAAGCGGTTAAAATAACAAACACAAAAAAGATGGAGAAGAGATCGGGCGATAGATGTTTAATAGGAAAGACAGAGCAAACCACACCAGACCCGCAAACCACCCACTGAGGAGCTCGGCTCTGAGGAAAAAGGAAAAAGCAGCTGGAGGGATTCTCAGCCTGTGCAGTCATGGCTGGTGGATAAAACCCAGGATGTTTCTCAAGTTTTCCAACACGCCTTACCCCAGGGCTGTTAGAGCCCAGTACCTAATTACTAGTCTCCTCCAATAAGGACAACCACTAGCACAAGGCCATGTGTACACATTGTTCATGATTGATCAAGACACCAGGGTGGGATGCTTTCTTTACAATGACCTTAATGTCTAGTGGCGTCAGTGGTCTAGGGGTTAAATAATAGGCTACCAGACTCATAATCGTGAGGTTGCGGGTTCGGGGGTGCGAGCCGCAGGCCCGACCATGTGCCCTTGGGAAAGGCACTTTACACGAATTTTCCTCCAGGGGGTTCACATTACTTTTCTAAAACAGGTACGGTATTCTCTTACGCTAAGTAGTTGACATGCAAGCTGGTTGCAAAAAAGGATAACAAAGCAAAAGGACATTCAAACAAGGGTGTGCGTGTGTGAGTGTGAATGTGTGTGAATGTGTGAGTGTGAATGTGTGTGTGTGTGAGTGTGAATGAGTGTGAATGTGTGTGAATGTGTGAGTGTGAATGTGTGTGTGTGAGTGTGTGTGTGTGTGAGTGTGAATGTGTGAGTGTGAATGTGTGTGTGTGAGTGTGAATGTGTGAGTGTGAATGTGTGTGTGTGAGTGTGAATGTGTGTGAATGTGTGAGTGTGAATGTGTGTGTGTGAGTGAATGTGTGTGAATGTGTGAGTGTATCTGTGCAACCCCAGAAGACAGGCTCCCTAAAAGCGTTGCCTGGATTACCTGTAGGGTCTCATTGTCCTTGTCAACCGGCAGCTGGACACAGTGATGGACACTGCCGTCGCACGTGCTGATGATGATCACCGGGAGGGCAGTGGGCAGGCACAGGATGGAGCAGGCGTCCACTCCGTAGTTGTCTTCGGCCGGAGGGTACATCATCACAGGACCCTGCACTGGCAGCTTCAGCAGTCTGCTCCAGCAAGCAAACAAGGAGGAAAAAGTAACATTTTAAAAAGTAAAACTGGGTAAAGATGATTGCTTTTCTATGGACACTTCATAACCTCCACCACCCCCCCCCCAAACATTTATGGATTTATGGACAATAGTTCTACAGACTCAAAGACACATCCCGGGGCAGTGCCACTGACTGAAGTGTCTTTAGGCCACTCCCAAAGGGGGGACATTTCTCATTCACGCACAGTAGAATTGTAAATGGGCTGATTCATCAATGTCCTGCTCATAACTGTGCCTGATGTACAACAAAGAAGTTTCCTCTACTTTTGTATGCTCGTCACACTCTTGTGACCCACTATTTCCGGGGTGCCTTGATAGTCGAAGCAGACTTTGTGCTGTTGAAGCTAGAGAGGTGAGCAGAGTAAGTCTGATTCCCTGTAAGGACTTCTCTGTTGACATCCACCCCTTGGCGCTCATATGACCTTATGCACTTGCGACCACCGTAAAACCTCTATTAAAACTAACCAGACTCAAAGACCAAGACCGGGGGAGGGGGAGGGGGAGGGGGACGGAAGATGCAACACATAATGACCCAAGCTAAAAACAGCACTGCACAGTGGTGACCAGCTATGATGTGTGGATTATCTTCGTTTGTGACATTGTGTATTATTCATGCATTTATGTATTAATGTATTCGTATATTTATGTGCGCCATTGTAAGAAAAATTCCCACTAGGGGACCAATAAAGTAAATTTATTTTTTCACATTCTTATCTAGTAGATATATTTTCTAAAGAAGTGACAGCACGACTGGTATCAATTAGTTGCAACTGTACCGACAGTCCAAACCAAAACATGATGATGTGAGCCTTAAGCTCTAGGTTATCCTTGGTCCTGCTGAAGGCAAGGGGGCAGCTAGTAATATATATAACAACCTAGACAACATAGCTAAATCTACAGAACACTCAATTACCTGTTATTTGAAAGGTTGGAATATATGATCAGAATCTCTCCACTGCCGCGCACACAATACACTGGCCACACTTCCACAGGGGGTGCAGCGCTGCCAGATTGAAACCGTTTCGATCGAGGCTTGAGGTCCAGAGGGAGGCCAAAATCAAAGGCCACAGCTGTCTCCCCGAGGGCAGCTCCAACCAAGGACTTGTTGGGAGACTGGACACAGGACACATCGCCTGTGTTCACATTCACCACACTCAGGGGATCGTTCGGCTCATAAAGGTCGTACACACTAGAAACAGAAAAAATGTTTCAAAAATTCATTTATCTACAAATCGAGGGCTGCCAAATTAACTACGGTAAGTCATGTTTTTAAAACTTTACAGGAGAGACAAAAAACGGATTTTCTTGAAGCATTTTGTGTGGATAAACTTCATTTTCAAAAGGGAGTCGAATGTCTGTCATGGCATTTGTAGGCTCCCTTATGAAAATGAAGTTTATCCACCCAAAACGATGCTTCAAGAAAATCTGTTTTTTGTCTCTCCTGTAATATTTGAAAAACATGACTTACCATAGTTTATTTGGCGGCCCTCGAAATGAAATATAGTTCTCCAATTCATCAGCATAAAACTGAATCTCCAAGGGGAGAAATCCCTCTAAACTCCTAAAACGTTTGTTGAACAATTCACACAGAGTACACTATAGGGTCTACTGTTAGTACTGCCAAGGCCAGTTTTGACCAGGCTATCCAGACCTTGGGTGCACAACTCACAGCGCAGATCTATGATTCTTATAGTTCGGTTGCCAAGAAAAAAATGACATTCTGTTTGTAAAGAACTCCTGCCGACGATCCAAGGCTGGGACACTTAACCCCTGATAGGTCACTGAGGGTGTACAAATACAGAGTATGATACAATACTAACATTTTAGGCTTGAAAGCATGATGATCTATGAACAGTGTGATTGGCAGTCCTTTATTACTGTAATAGAGTAGATAAAGTTTATTGAAGGAGGAAAATTGCTGAGCTGCATTATACGTGGAGCCCATTGCGAATGGGATTAGGTTGGGTTGGGTTGGGTCGATCGCACGACTCATCGTCTGAAAACAAACGCATTTGTTTTTGAGGCAACGAGTCCGGTGAACAGTTTGTGCCACGATAGCCGATTTGTGCCCTCAATCTGGCTAGAAAACCGACCAGACCTGACCCGATCATACCAATGTGCACCCGGTATTAGCAAATGCTGTTCACTTTACCATCAACTTCAGCAAAGTGGAGTTCCTCATTTACATGTTCACTAAATATGAGATATTACATTGATTTCAATTAATTTGAAAAGGCAGAGTTCTTTCTCCTTTCTGAGCGTCACAAATTTGATTGATTCCAAGTTTGGTAATGTGAGTTTCACAGACTTAATTTTAATTTAAAAGAGCTATTGTGAAGAATATTGATAGCTGACAACTTTGGCAATTGCATCTACAGAGACACCTGATCTGCTGATCTACTTGGTCACCAACAGTTCCTTGGGAAAGGTAATGGTCACTTGATGCTACTGCTGGGGAACAGCGAGGAACAGAAACCAAGACAGTGGCAGGCTTGCCAACTACTCCAAAACTCAAACAGGGACACCCAACTTTTCAACATCAGATTACATACAACAAAGAATAAAATTACATCAAGTGGGGGGTGATTCTGGTGTAGTGTACGTGACAAGATTTAAAAATTCTCCACTACTGAATCCAGGAGAGTCCTGGGAAATTTGGGTCGGTTGGCAAGTTTGCAGCGAGTAACACAGTAGAACCTGGGAGGGGTGCCCTCCAACCAGCTCCGTACCTGATCAAGTTCCATGAGATCAACATAAACTTATCAACATTTTAACAAAGCTATTTTCATGACCTCTGATCAATGATATCACGTTGTATATGAATGGTGTGGGGCTCATCCATGTCTATTCTTGACCAGAGAAAAAATTTCCATGAAAACCTGCACAACAAGCTCAGCAATGACTTTAGAACAAAAGCAGGTCGAACTGCTACTTTCTATTACACTGTTAGATCATAAATAACACCATCGATATGGCATCAAAATGAGAATTCTTATCAGAACCTTGAGATTGTAAAACACAACCTAATTATGAATATTGACCAAATTTTAACTGTAGCAAATACTGAATGCATTTCTCTCCAATTGTGTTTTGCAGCCTCTAAATTTATTATTCTTTTGTCACCTGAACATGTTGTCGGAGCTAAGCACAGCCAGGTGTGAGTCTGTGTTGCTGCCTGGGTGCCACGAAACTTGTCGGATACGCAGTGGCGTACTTCCAGAGAAGCTGCGCTCTCCAATGGTAATTGTCCTGAATGGGAAGTAGAACAACACATGGACACACTGGAAAATAAATGGACTTGAAAAAGGCAATTACAAAATTATTGTTCAGTCACAAGGATTTCAAACCAATTACGTACTATTATCAAAGAGACATGAATATCAATAAAAGTAATGTTAGTATATTTGTTGCAGTTTATTATTATATATATGTGTGTTACGCGCAATTTACCGATCGGCGCAAGATAGCGCTGCGTATTTTAACGATCATATTATAATAGTATCATTCTGGCGAGCTCTTCGATTTAATATCTTAATTTCAATTTATATATTTTTACACTTTTGAAAATATACGTGAATGTTCATTGATGTGAGTAAAAGAATAAAGATGGAAGTGAATTTCATAAAAGAAATATTTCAAAAATATAAAATAAAGTAAATTTACTTTGTGAACTTTCAGTTTGATACTTGGCACCGTATGATTCTTGTGGGCCTTCAGTTTCATATGTTAATTCTAATTTTAATTTTAATATATTTATACTTTTAAATACATATGTGAAAGTTCCTTGATGTGAGTAAAAGAATAAAGATAAAAGAGAATTTTTTGAAAAGTTATTTAAAAAATATAATACTAACGCAATCTTCAAATTGCCGCACAATTATACAATTGTTAAAACGCGCAGCGCAAAAAATCTTAAGATGGCTGCGCAGATATACGACCGTTAAAAAGCGAAGAGCAATCTTAGGATCTGTAAATTGCGTGGAACATATGTACACATTACAATTTTGAGAATAATGACAAAAAGATGGGGGAGGGAGCGGGGGCGCTAAGAAAGTGGTTGAAACTAATTTGCAAAAGACAAAAATTACACACACAAAAAAACCTTAAGCATCCACGAGATTTAACAGCAAGACTTCACTAGATTATAATTGCATGATAAAAAGAGAAACGTACTTGCAACTGATAACATCTCTGCCACCTTCAAACATGCCATTTTTGCCCCAGCGTCGAGGTAGTACAACCACCTTGATACCCTTGGGGCCATACAGTGCAATGTGACTTCCACTCTTGTTCACCTCTAAGTTTTCCACTTCCAAAGTGATAGCGGAGCTGACAAGTAACTTCTGTAATACAATCATGGAATTATGATGAACATGCATGTATGTATGTATACATTATGTATCAAATTCCACACAATAGCAACCTAATCTACTTTGACAAATTAAGGAACTTTAAGGCTACAAGGAAAGTGTTAGACTGGAACCCAAAGTAAAAGATCAAGGGGAACACCACATGGAACATGGAGAAGAGTCAGGGAAAGGGATGTGCATAGGAGAGGGAAGACAAGGAGTGTTATCAAGCCGCTCGCCCAGGACGGGGAAAGGCGGAAAGTGTTCGTCTGTGGCCTGATCCAGGGTGAAAAAGGCAATGATGGTGATGATGATGAAGGTTATTTTGAGTTTAAATTTATTTCTACCCGTACCCCCATCAAAATGAATTTAAAAGTTTAAAGTTGTCACCTTGCTACATAATTGAATTAGCCAATCTAATGTTCTTCTTAGTAAAAACTAAACCTTTAGTTGACTTCAAAAAACAAAATAAAGGTAAATTTTTTCTTTTACACCCGCATGCAGAGCACTGTTTTGGGGGTTAAACTGCAGTAATTTTTGGAGCAGAATTCCATATTTTTCATACATGGTTACATGGTCACTAAAACCCTCTCAAATCAATTGTTTTGTAGAAAATAACCTTGCAAAATATTTTTCCTAATCCCTACTATTGTCATCCTCTACTTCTTTTGTATGTTTGTCACACTCTTGTGACCTGCTATTTTGGGGTGTCTTGATAGTCGAAGCAGACCATGTGCTGTTGAAGCTAGAGAGGTGAGCAGAATAAGTCTGATTCCTGTAAAGACTTCTCTGTTGACACCCACCCCTTGGCGCTCATATGACCTTATGCTGTTGCGAGCGCCGTAAAACCCTCTACTATAAAAAAACCCATTATAAATTGATTGGCGGGAAAAATGAAGGCTATATTCGAGTTCAGCATACAACATACTACAAGAAAAATTAAGTAAAACGTGTGTACATGAGACGGGTGCATGAGTAAACCCCCCCCCCCCGAATTTTGAATATTGGCGTGAGTAAATTATCAGTTGCTATTTATCAGCATCGGAGTGTCCACTATGAGACAAAGTTGAATAGAGGGGTAGGGGCTGGGGTAGGGGTAGGGTTACGGTTAGGGGTTAAGGGTTGGGCCAGGGATAGGATTAATAGGTCTCTTCTATTGTTTTTGTCAGGGTGGTCGCTTGTTACGAAAGTCCTTCCTCAGCATCACTTTGTGGACCCGGAAAATCCAGATATCCCCACTGAACACGTCGAGAACAGGTGGATACGCGCTAAACGAATATTGCGCAGACAGTTCAACACATAGCGCAATCTCTGTCTCTTTCCATCGTGTCTCTATGAATTTGTTTTTTCAGAACAGTAACAGGATTCGTGACAAAGACATGTTTCTTGTCATGCTAAGGACTATAGCGCTCTGACAATTATCCCCTATAAATGTGCTAAAAACACAAGTGCTACAAAAGAAACAAATGCAAGTAGGTCTATTAACGTGTAAGTGTTATTGTTGTACATTGGGCTTGGGTAGGTTTAATAATGAGCTACAAATGCAAGTAATAACGTATTTTTGTTGTACACGACATTGAGTCTAGTCTAATAATTTACACATGCGACTAAACATAGAACGATGCATCTTCCTGATTGGCTGCTAATTTTAAGTAATGTGATGTCATCACTACCTGGGATACCCACAGACTATTTTTATAAGACCGTGGATGTACCAAAGATTGTGTATACGATAAAGTAGAGAATCTTTGGAGGTACCGCGTGGAATGGCATGTCGGGTCAGTGGCTTGGCATACTATACGTTCGATGTGTTTCGCATGGTAAAATTTCACACTTGCGGCTAACTGCAGCATGTCATCCATGCTCTGGCGATGGAAGATGGCTTAGACCGTTGATGCTCAGAACCGTAAGAACGCTGATGCTTGAAATTGAAACACGGTAAAAAGACAATAAAGCGCGCTACAATTGCCGTTGCCGTAAAGACGCCCGGAGATAACCCCCCCCCCCCCCGTCCCGATATAAACAAAGCGCAGAAGAGATAACCAGCATCATCGGAGCACTGCTCATATCACATTACCGGTACGCCTCCTGGAAAAACATCACACCAAACGTCGTGCCATGCCACGGTAGGTACACACGATCTTTGGTGCCATGCGAATGGCTATTAATAACTATTATGTTTAGGTCATGTTGTCATGTGATCGGAGGGGTATCCCAGTTTGACATAATAATAATAATATATTGCATTTATATACAGGGTTGGTGATTTTTTATACTTTTTTGATAAAAATAAAAAAAATCGATTGAAAAAAAATTTAAATCAGATTTTTAAAAATTTAAATCGGATTTTTTTTTATTTTACAAAAAATGCCGACTCAGTTTGGGATTTTTGGTGGCTAAAAGTAAGTTCTTTTAGTGCAAAATGCATTGTCTTTATTTTAACTAATGATTAATTTAAGCAACTGCAATTTTAGAAAGCCTTAATCTGCTATATCAGTGAATTATGGCTACAGACAAAAAATGAAGAAAATGTCAGTCTAAAAGGAAGGGGGGGGGGGGGGTAATTATGCATAGATAAACTTGCATTTTATTACAGTACAGTGTGTGTGTGTGCACGCGCTTGTGTTTGTATAAAAAGAAAAAGAAAAAGCTCATTTCAATTATGAAAAAAAAGTAAATTGAATACAGTAATTATTTTACTACTTACAGTGACAGGGGTGAAAGCAGACTTTTAAGCACGATTATTTTAGTCTACTAAACCTTATATCTGTTTTATAAAACCAAGGAAAGGAATTCTGAATGTTTAAAGATGTAAAAACAGAATACATTTTTTAAAAGTGATTTAAATCACCGAGTTTTAGTTTTTTAATCAAGTTGATTTAAATTTAAAAAAATCAACTGATTAAAATCGACCTGATTTAAATCAACCCAACCCTGGTTTTCAATTATGAAAAAAGTAAATTGAGAGCTGTATTATTTTATAGTGACAGGGGGTAAAGCAGACTTTTAAGCATGATTATATTAGTCTACTAAACCTTATATCTGTTTAATAAAACCAAGGAAAGGAATTCTGAATGTTTAAATACAGTAATGTAAAAGCTGAATACATTATTTGAAAAGTGATTTAAATCACTGATTTTTATTTAAAAAATCAAGTTGATTAAAATAAAAAAAATCAACTGATTCAATTATGAAAAAAAAAAGTAAATTGAATACTGTATTATTTTACATTGAAAGGGGGGAAAGCAGACTTTTAAGCATGATTATTTTAGTCTACTAAACCTTATATCTGTTTTATGAAACCAAGGAAAGGAATTCTGAATGTCGAAATGTGTAAAAACTGAATAAAAATACATTTTTTAAAAAGTGATTTAAATCACTGATTTTTATTTTAAAAATCAAGTTGATTTAAATTTAAAAAATCAACTGATTTAAATCAACCTGATTTAAATCAACCCAACCCTGTTTATATAGCGCATATCCACGCTCAAGAGCATGCTCAATGCGCTTTACAACTATTATCACACAAGATGGCCACCTTACCAAAAAATAGTTTACGTCGTTCTACGTTTAGTCGCATCATGTATAATTTACGAACCTGAAATGCACTTTTACCAGGAACTAGATCTAAATCTCTAGCCTCGTGGCTATGCGTACGGCTCTTAGATTTAGATAGAAGTATGCTCACGGCCTAGATAATCGCTCAGCTGGACTGCGTCACTTTATCAATTGATAACTTGGCCAAGACAAAGATTGTGTATACAAGATAGTTCACCCCTCTATAATTGAACCAAATAAAAAAGTGTCCTCAATGTTCGGTGGCGCCCTCTTCGAAAAAGCGCGGACTTTGCGATCAGAGTTATCCTACTAGCGTGAAAATATATAAAATAAAAGTAAAACCAACAAACTGCTATTCTTCTTCTTCTTCTGGTGAAACGAAAGAGAGCTTCAAAATAATGACTGCAGCCTCATCTGAACCAATGTGCTGACTTTCGCGGATACCTTTTTGACTGAGTGAACTATTTTGTTATGTACGATCTTTGGTCAAGAGACGCTCTACAAGATCAAACTTGCAAAGTCATTGGTCCCTATTTATAACTTTTACCTGTAATTTATGACGTCATTATGCTGACATTTTCCATTGAAAAAAGGTCAGCGTCTATGCCCTTTCTTTATAGTTGCGCGTTTCCCAATCAAAGTAGGTCATCCCTATATATAGGGCCAGCGCGCTTTCCGGGTAGCCCGGCTCACGCCCTTTATTTATAAAGGGCCTGCGCCTAGACGGTCAGAGAACGTATAAGAACGTATAGGCCAGCGAGCTTCCAGGGTTTAAGTTTGTCCACTTGATAGTCTATGAGCATACTTGGTAAAAAAAAAAGGGGGTCTCCCCCCTGCTAAAATCACAAGATAATGGTTTGTGCGGCAATTTCTAGTGCCAAAATTGTTCTCAGCAAACTAAAAAACGTTAAAATTCAGAATCGTGCCGAAAATAAATCTAGAGTACCTGGCCCAACACGCGACACTTGTCATATTTTGCTTCTCAGGGGTCTCTGTCGGCAAAATAAGTCAGGTAATCCATGTTCAGGGCCGCTTCAGTGTGTCAATTTCCGGTTATAAATACCATGATATCGTCATTCATTCTAAAACGTCATTGGCAGATTTCGCATTTTAACATAATTTTTCTATAAAATGTTCTGCCCTTGGTGCGACTGCATGCCCTCAGCGCGACCACATACGGAACGGGGCGTGACCATGCGCGCACAGACAGAACAGGTGTAAGAAAGTTGTTAGTAGTACACTATTTAAAGGTTAGTATAATCATTTTTTTAGCCAAATGATGAAACAATTATAAATCTTATAAACAGAGGGTACAGAGACAAGTGGTCGCGTATTGGGCCAGCTACTCTAGTTTAGTAACTGAAGAAAACTTCTCGAAGAATGTTTTCGACGACTTTCACTTCGAACTCGGCTGCTGCACTAGATCTAGCAGACAACTGACGTTCTCGGAAAAGGATTGACCAAAAGCGGACCTAGACTAGGCACGTAACCATAAAACAGATTGCACATGAGCTGCACTAAAATTAAAGGAAAAAGGGGGAACTGGTCGTGTTCAGGGCACGGTCACGCCAAGGCCGATGTCTCTAGACCTAGATTTTTTTAGATCTCTAGATCTAGAAGTCTAGAATCTAGTCTCAACTAGAATCTAGGCTTGGCAGGCAACTCATCAGTTCAGTTAATTTACTCGACTTCCGATTTTGTTTCCGATTTCGGAGTTAGGCCAGGACCACTTCTCCCGAACAGTGCCGACGTCAGAGTCTGAAACAGTGAAACTGAATCTGAAGACTTGAATCTCGAAGTTAGATCTAATCTAGAATCTGTATCTAGATCTAGATTCTAGATCTAGACTAGAACAAAGTGAAACTGAAAGTGAGAATGAAACCTCTCTGATCTAAAAGTAAAAGAGATCTATAAGATTAGAATCTAAATATCTAGTCAATACAGCCTAGCCAAATACACAAAGCAAACGAATCACAATCTCCTAAAGAGTGAATACGTAGGTAAAAGCAAACCTGGTGACTGCTACTCTGATCATCAGATAAGTTTCTGGTCAAATCCAAGATGCTGTTTTGAGTTTGAGAAGTATCCAAATCATTATTAGTGTTGTCAACTGAGGATCCAAGACTTTTCAGATTGCAGTGTATTATTTGACTCTCTGGTTGGTTCCAAATATACAAATCACTACCATAAACACATATTAAGCTTCTAGATTCGTTCTGGTGCTTTTTAGACAATTCTTTAGAGTTTTTTTCTTTCAAAAATTTACAAAAGTCTTGAGTGTTTATTGCCTCCCGCCATGATCGAACTGCCATGGACGCCGCCATTTTGATAAAAATGCTTACTCTCGAAACCCGTGATTGAAGTCTACTTTTCTTGTATTCACTGCAAACGGAATTACCAAACACAATCTTTCATTTGAGCCGCTCAGAATTCATTGTTTAATATTATATTTCTTTTTAATTCATTTTGTTATTGTTCTTTTGATTGCTATTCATTTGTATCTTTTTGGACCTTTTTTCCAATAGCAGTGAGGTCATGTGACCAATCGATCGAGCTTATAATCTGTTCAAGATGGCTGCGAATGTGCAGTCGATGTGTCAGTATTGGAAAAACTTCGACTTACAAGACTTACAGGTATGTATAAAAGTTAATTTTTAATCCTGTTGCCGCTACATGTGTCTTTTATCTTTCATTTGAGGTAAAATATGCTACCTTGGCAGTTGTCAAACAAGGAGTATGAGAATTTAAATGCCAAGATTCTATCGATGAAATATCAGAAATAATCAATATGGCGCTCTCATTGGTAGCTCTTTGTGCCCCAGGATGTGAGCAGCTGTTGTGTGAGCGTATCAGGCGCCAACTCAGTGAACATTAATGGTTTAGAACTCCCTCTGTTATTTCTGTCGAGATGCGTATACGTTTGAGTTGTCATAAATCATGCCCTCCAATTTTTAAATATTCTAGACCGCTGACGGCAGTCCAGTTATGGTGCCGCCTTCCTTAGCAGTAGAAAATCTCTAGCAGTGGACATGGTCCTCTTGTCTCACCCTTTGACCTGAAAACTGTTAAGCCTGACTGCCCTAACCTTCCCAAATAGGGAACGGTACGTCTTAGGGAACTGTCATTTTATTGATGCTGGGTTTTAAAAATTACTTGCTATGCTATCACTTTCCATAGTCATAGTCATAGACTCATTAATTTTGACTCTATGATGTTAATGATAGGCTACATAACATTTTAATAACAACCAATGTCCAATCCAGGTCCTTTTTAACTGCAAGTCTCTAGTCTAGTGACTGGTGTGTCAAGAAATGCCAGTCCTTTTTATTTATCTTACACTACTTTTTGTTCAGTGCCACTGAGTTGAGACTGTGAATGTGAGTTGCTGTAAGTTTTATTTTCACTGACTTGGTGCTACTGTGGCTAACACTAAAAAAGCCAACATTTAGATCTAGATCTAGATTAGATCAAGTGATGTATCTTTATTTTAAATATTCTTGTTTGAGATCTACCTCAAGAAAATGTCCTTGGTTTTATTACTCTTAGCCTATATGTATAGCAAGGTAGATATTAAGTTTGTCAAAGTAGATCTATATGTTGCATGGTCACTTTTAGACTCAATGACTAAAATATTTCACAAAGTAAGTTTTTATCTCTGAAGTTCACGACATGGTCTTTTTTCCGGACTTCTTAGTTCTGAAATTGCTATTGCCGCTGATTTTGCAAAATTCTGGCATGAATGGTTCTTACTTTACATCATGTAGATATAGAAATCTATATATATATATATATTTATTTATAATAGGCCAGACATGACTTTTATGACTATTTTCACCTCTTTTTGGGGGCGGTTTCCGTGCTGTACTGCAACTATGGAATCATTTTGTCCTGGCTTGACAAATTGAAAGCATCTCATTATCAATCACCATGCATGGCATTGTCCGTTTCGTGGATTTGAGTAAAATGTATCAATTTTATTGTTATATTTGCAAAAGTAAGACAGTAAATTAAAATGTTGATTCAATACTGGTTGTTAGCTTGCGATATTAAATTGTTGTAGTTTTTAGTTTCGACTTACACTTTAAACAAAAGGAGGTGGATTTGTGTTTCTTTAGTTTTGATCAAGCTTCTTAACCCTGTGACTGCCAACAGTTTACATTTTACAAGCTGAGAAAAATTCCACATTGTACAAGATGCCACTGGTTACAATCTTCAAGCAATGGGTATTTGCTTTAGATTGTAAGTTAAGAGACAGATAGGTAAAAACTCTTTATAAAGTAAAAAGATTGCATTATCCTTAGACAAGCTATGCAGAACAAGAGGATGTTAGCTTTGGAAAGTACTGAGACTGAATAAGCGCTATGATTCAAAGTGTTGACTTGGGTCTGGCATTTATATAATGTTTGTGTAAGAAAGACAACGCATTGGGTTTTTTAAAATCGGTCACTAAGCACTTGTTTCCTGTCAAAGTGTATATCAACAAGTAAAGAATGAAGAAGTGGCTTCATTCATTGACAAGACCTGCGCATAGCAAGCCAATACAATGTAGACTAATTAAAATTACTGAGTCTAACAAGTATTCTCATATACTGCTGTAACTGTCTCGCACAATGTGTAAGAAAGGCAACACACCTCAATTTGTTCTAGAGACTCTATCATGGGCAATTCCTAATCATAGCTGCATGAAAATAAACACGATTGCATCAGCAAGTGGGTACGGAAGAATGGGATATAAAGTATAAAGTACGTTTAAAACTGTAAAAAGGAAGATGGCATGGATATTTACATAAAACTTAGGTTATTAATATCTGGTTATAATGCCCACACTATTTAAAGAAAAACAACACATAGACAATATTTTGATAGTATCATGTGTATGAATTCTGAGTCAGTGTGGAAAAGAAATGTAACTAAGTTCTTCTTGCTTGTCTGTGTGGGACAAGTGATTAGAAATATAACTTTTGGATTGAAATCTTTAAAGAGAAAAAAGCTATATTTACTTCTTTGAACAATACTGAAGATTGTGTTTCAGATTTTTTCTCTACTTGTTGTTTATTTTTTACTGTCTTACTGTGAACTGAAAAATGATGTTTCATACACAATGTATATGGTGAAGTGGTTGCTAAATTTTGTTCTGTGTTGACGTTTGCTTGAAGAGCATCACTGATAGGTCCTATTTTATCGTATTTTTTTTTTTTATCACTCTGTCATTTCTGTCTGTCTATCTGTCTTACTTTTTCCCTGACTCAAGTCAAATGGCCGCTTTTGTATCAATGTGCATCTCTTTTCCAACGACACATTTTTGTAGATTTTATTTTGCCTAAAAGATATTGAAGACATTTTTCTTATGATTTGTTTTTGGTTTTAGTTTGTTTATCTAACATCAGACACGTTGTCTGAACATGAGGGCGTTGTGTTGGGGGACATTTTACAAATCTTTCTTGAAATTTTTTAGAATCACGTGCGGATTATTGTCTCTTTTAAATCTTTCCTTTTCTAGCATACTTGCTTTGTCTCTGTGTTGTTGTTGCAGTTGTAATATACCCAGAGCAGCTACGAAATTGCATAGTATAACGATTTGATCAGCTATAATGGCACTTGGGTTAAGGTTATTTTGCAACAATCCTTTCAACGCAGTATGCTTTTAAAAATTATTATTATGGAATGGTTTGTACAGCCTTCAAATAGAAATTGTGTTTCGCCAGAGATTGTACCAGCCTAGGAAAGCTAGGTATAAGTAATATAATCTAAATCTGAATTTTAATCAGTATCTAAATAGAATGGCCGATGTGTTATGGTGCGTATACTTGGTGTGCTCAGTATTCATTATTGAGCTGAGGAACGTCTGATAAGCATGCTTTTTTTTTTACTAAAAAAGTGAATATTGATGATCAACAGTATGGATGGTTTGAAATCTAAATGTCGATGGAAGCGTATAACACCTACACCAGCGACAAAAAAACAAAGAACAAAACAAAAAACCCCACTTTGAAATTCATGAAAAGAAAAGTGATTATCTTTGGAAAATGACCGGAAATTGATTAAGAATCACTCCCGTATGAAACCTCTATACAGCCTCTCACTTTTCACTCTTTAACAAAAATTAAAGACAATTTCTATATAAATAATGTACTAGATCTAGTTTAAAAAAACAACAAAAAACCACATCCCACAAAGCATTTGTTTTGTGACGTCTGTCCGAGAGAAGTTTATATTCCCTCCATCGGTCTTTCGATCGATATTTAAATCGCTGCGGCTCGGGTGGAAAAGTTTGCCCAAGGTTTATTTAAAGGGACTTGTCAGTGGGGGCCGTGATAACAGTTGGGCACTTGAGAACGTCCCCGTACTCAGCCGGGTCGGTCGCTTCTTTCTTATCTATCACTCCTTCATTCCTTTCTTTCTTTCTGGTCTTTTTTCTCCCCGTGACTTCTGATATCTTCTGTCGTGCATCGAGGAATAGTCCCAGTCGCCAATGTCACCTTCGACTTATCGCTTATCGAAACCTGACGTTGCTTTGAACTTGTGAATGGACTAAAACTTTGCACCCTA